TGACAGTTTTCCATACAGCTAAATACAAACTATACATCCCAGAAACCTCACTCCCACCTCTTTACTTAAATGAAGAGAAAATTTATGCTCCACAAAACCTGAATGTAAATGCTCATAATTGCCAAACACTGGAAACAGTTCAACTATTCATCAACAGGTAAACACCACTCAACAATAAAAAGAAATTGCTATAAATTGAACCAGTAATGTCCCTTAAATTTCTCTAATATTAAGTCTTGGTCATTGGTGAGGCACTTGGGAGGAGGTAGAAACTTAAAAAGGTGAGCCTCACAGGAAGTCTTCAGATCACTGGAGTCAACTTTTAAAGAGGTCAGTGGGACCCCAGCCATTTCCTCTTCCTCCACCCATGAGGTGAGCAATTTGCCCAGCCATGCACTTCCTCCATGATGCTCTGCCTCCCCAGAGGCTCCAAAGCCCAAGTGATCACAGGCTGCAACCTCAAAGCTGAAATCAAAAACAAACCTTTCTTAAGTTACCTCATGTTATTTGTTACAGTGTCAGAAAGCTGACTAACACTGAAAGGAACCAATTACACACATAGCACGATGGATTAATCTCAAGTATATCATGTGCGCTAAATACAGCCAAATTCAAAGAACTACATAACCTAAGTTTCCATTTATAAGACATTCTACAAAATCACATCTATAGCCTCTGCTTCTTTTTTTTTTTTTAACCAGGAGTCAAATTGATGACCTTGTGCTTGGCAGGCAGGTAATTATGCCACTGGGCTATATCTCTGGCCCAAACCTGTAGCTTTTGTACACAGAATCATCACTGTCTGGGAGTGGGGCAAAGATTGAATACAAAAGAGACCAGGAAAGCTATTGAGGGGAGAAATTCTATGTTGTGAAGGTGATTCCATGACTCTAACAATTTATCAAAACTTGTAACTTGAAAAGTAAATTTCTATATAGTACTGTTATTTTTAAAATATAAACCTAGTACTAGATAAAATGTAAAGTACAATTGAGATTTCAAAGTCGAAAAACTCTCATTGATTTTATAAAAAGTACCTAGAAACTACAATTAACTGGAATTGTTTACTTCACTTTTTATGATTGATCACAAAAATGTGTCAATGGACAGAAAAAGCAGTTGGCTCAGAACCGTTAAAAACTGGCAAGTGGAATAAAAATAGACAGATAGAACCATCAATGCTATGACAAGAGTTGATGCAACTTGTCCTCCATTGTGATGACAAAAGCAAAGAAAGTCTTTAAAACACTTTAACAAAGTTAATCACAAGCACTATTTACTATGGCAAAATGTAGAAAGACATACAACAATATATAACAAATATATAAGAATTGTAAGACTATATAAGAAATTATAACAATATATATTAAATGTAAGAATAACTACAAAAAGACACTCTTTCTCCCAAAATACCTACTGTGCCTTCCCCCTCACCCCTTGCCTAGCCTGCTTTACTGAGTGGCCCCTGAGTAAGAGCATAGTGATGGCAGGTAAGGCAGGGACAGGCTGAATGGGGTTTGTCATTTTTGATCTGTAGTTGTCAAGGCTGATTATTTTTCAGCTAGGTCTTATTTTCAGGAAATATAGGATTTAAATGGGATGCACAAGCCTTCTCTTAACCACCTTTCCTAATAGCTTTTGAGATGCATAATATATATATATTTTTACTCTGTATTTGTTCACTAGCATATAGACTGTTAGGACAATGACTGCAAAATCTATTCATTGCATGTAACAGCCAAGACCATTCTTTTTGTCACTATATCTGCTCACCCTTCTGTACCATGAAGACATCCAGGTTATCCAGAAGCACCATCCTTCCAAAACCCAGGTGATCCCAAAAAATATAAAGATGAGAAGCAGCACTCATCCTGGATAACACCAACTTCCACGTAACTGACCATGACAATATAAGTGAACTCTCAAAAAATAATTAGAAGTCTCTCTCTCTCAGTGCTAATCAAGCCTTATTTTTCTTGGTGAGGCCACATAGCATGGTGAACATTTCCACCCAAATTCTTGAATTAAAGGAAGGAAAGAAAGATGAAGATGGATTCCTGAATATGGAATTCAGCTCTCAGGAGATACATGAAATGAAGTTTTTGCTCTAACACTAGACAAGTGCATCATTTGTAAAGCCTTTACTAAGGAAGAAAAGAGGACACCACCCACCAAGAATGTTTGCTTTATTTTAATCACAGGTCATCCAAACAGCAGGATGCGCACCGAGAAGGTTTAGGAAGCTGTTCTGACATTTCAAGCAGAAAAACAGTTGCAAATGAATACATATTCAGCCTTGGAAAAACTATATGGTTTGACTTAGGCAATGGTGTTTTAAAATTTTAGGTGTTTAAAAATCTCTTGTGTTCTAAATTGCCAATAAAATAGACATTAAGCTACTGTAATTTTTATTTCCACAGTAGGAAACTGCAATTTGAATAGTAACTGAAAGGCATTCAGAAAACATCATCTTCTCATTAGGTTCACCGAATCTGCCAGATTTTACGGGTTTCTGCCTAATAAGACAAGTTCCTACAAAAGTTGTCAAGTTTGATCCCTTTTGCCCCAAATGTACCTCTCTCTCTCTCTCTCTCTCTCTCTCTCTCTCTCTCTCTCTCCCTCTCTCCATCTCATCTCTCTCTTTCTTTTCCAGACAGGGTCTCTCTATAGCTCATGGCCTTGGATTCACTATGTATCCCAGGAATACGTAGTGAATTCATGACCGTGAACTCACAGGGATCCTCCTGCCTCAGCCTTCTGAGTGCTGGGATTACAGGCTTGCCATTCCAAGGTTCTTACATGGTTTTCTAGAAAGTTCTACATAGAAACTCTTACTACTTTATAGGAACCTGCATATTTAACTGTTAACATTAAGTTTTTAAAGTATCAGAGAATCAAAACATTAAATAAGAAGTTGGCTCATATAAGCTATTTTCCAATTATGCTGTTGTGAAAGTCAGACTGCCACATCTTACTATTTAAATGTAATTGCAGAAATGTCCACCAAGTCCACCAACTAGTGAACAAAATATGGCATAGCCATCAAATGGAATGAATATTGGTTACCAATAAAAAGAAAACAGCTATGAATACAGGTTACAACTTTCATGAACCTCAAAAGCTGCATGTAAGGGGAAATGAGTCAGATACTAAAGATCATAAAGATTCCATTTGCATGAAATGTCCACATAAGGCAAATTTAATGAACCAGAGAATAGATCAGGAGTTGCCTAGGGTAGGGCTGGGAATGGTGAGTGACTGCAAACACACACCAGGAATTTTGGAAGAATGATAAAATAATCTAAAATTGAACTGTTGATAGTTGCACAATTATATAAATTTACTAAAAATCACTGAATTACAAACTGAAGTGTATTTCATGATGTATAAATGGCACCTCCAACAGAGTAGTTTTTTAAAAAACTAGAACAAGATATAAGGATAAATTGGACAAAGTTGCTTTTTTCACCCTCTGGGTGTATATTTTTCTACTTTAAAGGAAAAAAAATGAATGTATAGAACTTTCTTAATTTGGGTTTTTGTTCATTTTCCCCTGGATCATTGGCATCCACAACGATACATTTAATTTTCCCTTAATCTACATGAAGTTAATATTTAGCTATTTTAGGTTCCATTCAAATCTTTCAATTTTTTTTCCATTTTCAATCATCATCCCAAGAAAATATGCTCTTCGTTTTCCAGAGCTGTACAATCTTAGCTTAGTTTTTCAGCATTGGTTAAAATTTGGCTTGCAATTGAAGTTCACTGGTAAGTACACTGTAAATAACCAAGCTAATAAATAACAGCCTATTCGTAATTTACAAAATATTATCTATATTCATTCCAAAAGTCCCTAGGAGATCAATTTATTTTGTAAACAGGAAAGGTAAGAACTTTCTTATGACATTTGCTTAGGTCCCAGGGAAGTGCAATCTGTTTTCATAATTTGGGTAAATAGCTAAGGCGCTGCACAGGGATCTTCCCTGCTGTAGGCACAGATTCCTCAGAGGTGTGGCCTTCACTCCTGAGCTGAGAATGCAGGGAGGGAAGAGGCCACACAGCACCGGCGCTGCTCAACAACAGCACCCATTGTGCACGCTGGGCACTGGACGCTGCTTCAGGCTCAGGTTTCTGGAAAACCAGTCTTCCACAGAGCTGAATATTTAATGGCATTAGATAAAACCACAAGGACAGATCACCTTTACCCGATGGCAAATGCAGAATTGTTTTTATATTCTACATTTTCGTGTAGTCTTTATACACCAAAAAAGAAGGAGAAATTTTGATTCTTCAAATGAAACAACTATAACACCAAACAGACACGATCTCAATTCTATGCAGGGGTGGTTTCGTGTTCGAATTTTTTTTTTCTTTTCCTTTTGAAGAGAGGCTGAAAATTCAGTTATGTCACCATCCTTTCTAAAAGTTATGCTCCCACTTCTCTGCTCTTAGAAGGTAATACTGCTCCTCTGCACAGCTTCCTAGGGCGCTGCAACTCTCAGCTCTACAACCCCCTGATGCCCACTTAGCAGACACAGGAGGGACCTGTGGAGCTGTGGGCTGGGCTTTCGCTGCACCTGCAGCTCGGGAAGTCACAGGAATGAATGAAAGAAGGGTCACACCGCGCCTTCGCTCATCTTAGCGGTTAAAAATTATGGTCTTAGCATTGGCTGCTCCGGAGTTACAGGTGACAGTGTTTTTCAGGAGGTTTTACTCCAAGGCCTCCGAAATTAGCAAAGAAATCACGCGGACCTTAGCTAAAGGGGCTGGTTAACAGCAGCCTAAACTACAGGCAGGCTGAGAAACGGCTGGTTCCTTTGGAGAGGGAACGTCCCCCCAGGGAATCTGAGCCCACCCCAGGGCCCCCGGGGGAGGCACCCCGCTTCTCCAATACCCCTCTCCGGGAAATGTCCTCCGTAAGCTAGGCTCTCTGGGACACCCGCTCCGGGGCACCTGGACGCCCGCCTGGCGCGCGCAGAAGGGGTCTCGAGCTCGCCTACCTGGGAGAGCGCACCCTGCAGGGTCGGCCGCTCCTCCGCTGGGTCTCCGCGGCCAGGGCCGTACCGGGCGGTGCAGCTCGCCTGGCGGCCGGCTGATTGGGCTCCACCCGGACGGACGGACGGGCGCGTCAGGGCAGAGTCCGGCGCCAGGGCGACTCCGGGGAGGGGCCACGCTCCTGGCTGGCGCACGCCCAGTGCTCCGGGACCAAAAGGTGGCCCTGCAGGCCTCTCAACAGAGACTCTTTGCTGCTGCTGAGTTGCAGCAAGCTCCTGTTTGAATCCTAAATGCATAAACGTTAGCTTCGTTTTTGTGGTTCTTAATAAACTTTTTTAAATTTTGAATAATTTGACTGAGGAAAGGTTGCAAAGCCCATGTCTGCACCCTACAAAACCACTGTGCTTGTCAAAATACAAAATTTGCAACAGTCCATTGCGATTAACTAAGAGCCGGACGCTACAAATTTCACTAGCTTTGGAGTCTGTTTCAGGATCCTATGCTGGATAGTACTGCCCAGCGTTAGTGTCCAGCCTCCCTGGTCTCCTGTGGCCTGTAACGGTTTCTTAGACTTTTCCTGACTTGGATAGTTTTGAAGACTTGTGGAAAGCAGTCCAGAGGACATCCCTCGCTTGGTTTTGTCCATGTTTTTCCCATCTGGGTATAAGGCCATACAGACAAGCGCTCCGCTTGATGTTGACCCACATGGCCCGACATCAAATCTCCAGGATCTCCTCTACTGCGAAGCACTAACTCTTCCTTACCTTTCTTTGGATGAAAATCACTGGCTTTGGCCCACACTCCAGGTGGAGGAGGGATCAGACCCCTCTCTTAGGGGCGAGAAAGGTCACATATGATTATATAGAATTATATTGTGAAGATTTAATTTTTTTCTCCCATTTATTTAATCATTTATTTATATAAGTATGGATTTTGGGTATATTTATGCTATACTCTGGGCTATAATTCAATCCTACATCAGTCATTTTGTTGCTCAGATTGTCCATTAGAAACCAATTTAGGCTGATGTCTATGTACCCCTACACTTTTACAGTTTTAATTTTTAAAAAATACTATCTCTTCCATTTCTCACGCATTTGAGATTTGGAAACTACAGCCTAAATCCCTCAATTTCCAAATATTTTTCAGGATCTTCCTGGGAATTCTACAATTCCTACCACAATTTGAGGCAAAGTTTATTTCTTTTCTCAACAGATTAATTTATGGATTACAACCCAATAGAAAAAAGTGAAAGCTGATGATTCTTATCTAATTTTTTGTTAACCTATCCTGTGGTTCTATTAAATAGATGCATGCACTTTTACAGAACAATCACATTCCAAAGATAGTTATGTTTACTGCCAGCTTGAACCCTGAAGAAATCCAGCTGCCCAGGATCATTTGTTACTTCACTTTGGTTTGCTTTGGCTTGTCTTAGAAAGTCAGTTTTATAAACACCACATTTCCTCCTTCTAAGCTTGGGTCTTGTTCAGCATTTAGTGCTGCCCTGCTATCTGGGACCCTTCCATCTCTCTTGTTGGCCAGAGTACTGGGAGAGAGAAATCTGCTCCTGCGCTGGTCTAGGTTGCTCCCAGATAAATATGAACATGAAATGGTTGGAACAGTGAAAAATCCACAAAGTTAAATGACTTTCTACTTTCAACCACTTTTTGACAAAGTTAACTAAAACTAATATGAGTTAAAGGAAAATTTCTTGTGTTTGTGTGTGTGTTGCGTTGTGCTCTGGGGTGCTGTGGCATAGTGTGGTGTGGTGTGGTTGTGTACAGTAATGGGAACTGAACCAGAAGGGGCTCTGCCTCTCCATCCCCAGTCCCTTGTTTTGAGACAAGATTGCACTGAGATGTCCGGACTGGTCTGACATGTTCCCCTTTTGACAGCCTTCTGGCAAGAAAAGCTTTTGTATTTGTCAGCAGATATATGGAATAAATGTTTGTTTATACACACACACACACACACACACACACACACACACACGCACACACACACACAAAACCCGTATGTTCATATTTCAGTTACCAATGTGACGATATTATAAGGGGAATCTTTCAAAGATAATTAAGTCATGGAGCCCTCATGAGTGAGTTTTAGTGACCCTCTAGGAAGAAACAGGAGAGAGAGAGAGAGAGAGAGAGAGAGAGAGAGAGAGAGAGAGGCTTTCTGTCACATACAGATCCAGCAAGTAAGCAGCCATGTATAAACCAGGAAGAAGGTAATCACCAAATATCACATTTTTGGACACTTTAAACATTGAACTTCTCAGCTTCCAGAACTATAAGTAATAAACATTTATTGCTGACCCAGTTTAATAAGAATCTATGGTATTCTGTTAGGATAGCCAGAACTCTGTGTTCCAAAAGAAACTGTCAAAAATCAGAGGTAAAGGTGACTGCCTATAAATTTTCATAGGTATGTAATAGGCAAAGCAGATTAAGGAGCTACTAAGATGCCCAGTCCAGCCTCACGTCCACAGGACACAAAGGGGAGGTAAGGCAGCGTGGGAAGAAACTCTGAATAATGGACAAAAGGCCCAGGAAACATCTTTTAATTATCTATCTCTGCTAAGAAAGGAATAAAAAAATAACATGTAGGAACTGAAACTCTGTTGTTATGAATTCATAAGTAATGCATTTAACAATTGTTTAGTAACAATGCAATTCTCCTTGTACATACAAGGCTATCGAAAGAAGAATATCTTTTTATAAGAATATCTTTTCACATAATAGATACAGAAACCATGACACAACCGACAGTGTCACACAAAATATGTGACTGCTGGTTGAGCAATGGCCCTAATGGATCAGAAAGGCTGCCGGCTGCTACACTGTGGGTATGCGTCACTTCACGTCAGCCAGCTGAAAGCCAGCAATGGCCTTCACTACCTAAAACTCTAGCTGCTCTCTCAGCAACAGGTCCAGCAAGTCCTTTGAGAAATATTCTTTCCAAGCACTCAGCTGAATACCATCCTCTGGACTTAGGAAGTTCTAATTCTGTTGGTTTTCCTTGTTGATGAGCTTCATTCGCTCATGAGTTATACCTGGATAATAGATGTTGCTTCCCTCTGCACTGTGAGCTCTTTCTCCCAAAAAAGAAAACTTGTAGAGAAGGCATAAAGAGGCATGAGAGCTGAGGAGGCAATTTTCAGTATTTCATCCAGATATTTCTAAATTTGCAGGAAGTAGGTGAAGGTCAGAACAGTCCTGGTGCTGGGTGAGGATAAAGGTTACATTTCAAGACTACTTCGGTTTGCCACCTTTTATTTATATGCTTCTTCTATATCCTCATCCCACCTTGAGCTCTACAGATCATTTAGATAGTAACTGCACCATCTTATGTTTCCTTTACTGACTCTGCTGGAATTGAAGAAGCTTAATAGAGTCTGACACTCCATGATCTAAACTTTTTTTGTTTTTTGAAGCTGTTCACAGCACTCTAGCTTTGTGGATTCCTTTTGTGTTCTAAAATATTCTCTAGTGGGCTGTGGGAATTTTCCATTCTGTCCTTTTTTTGTACTTGTAGCGTGTATGGGGAGGAATTACGGCTCCATACTTAAATTCCTGTTCCTGGGGTTTTACTGATGGTGGTTTGTTTTTGGTTTTGCTCTCTGCTTTTGAAATATTTCCTTTGTTGATGGTATGGTGAGCACTTGTTACCAAAACAAAAATTTTTTAAAAAGAAAACAACTGTCCTTGAGTTAGCTCAAGTGAAGTAGAGGTTAGTACTAACAGCTAAATGTCAGTAAAGGACATGGAGAGCTCACTGGGATCTGAATAAAGAAAGCTCACAGTGGCTGGGCATCCTAGAGACAATCCTGGTGTAGGCAGACTTTGATTGTACGGAGAGTGTGGGCACTGTCATTCTGGAGCTACATACAGCATGAACACCGTCAACTGCTTACCTTCTTAGCTGTGCTTCTCTCACGACGCCTTCCAGAATCTTCCCTCTACCGCATGGCTTCCTTAGCCCCTGCTCTGCAAATCTCCAGTAGCTGCAGGTGTCGGCAGAGCAGCATTCCAGTTAGCTGGTTTAGGCAGTGATTATAAGCTCTTCAGCTTCAGTTGCCATAAAATGGACTCTCACTATTATGACTACTTGTGGCTATACAATGCTGGGTTATTTTTATTCTTCTCAGTTCTGATCTTGAGATCAGAAAAAAACACACTTTTCATCCTTTAGAATGAGCTCTTTGTCCAAGGTCACTTTATACATAACTTGCTGTGCTGTAGAATGGCTGCCATTGGAATGGATGTGCTAACTTTTTCTCCATCTTCTAGGGCTTAGTAACTAACTGCTCAGTGGTCACCCCTGACAGAGACCGAATCTCTGGCTCTGTCTCCAATGGGGGATATTGTGTAGCAAGGCTTGAGAAAGGGAACTCAGGATGGAGGGCACCATGACTACTATTTCGGTACTAAGAAAACCAACAACCGGAGTCAAAGCCCTGAACTTGGGGCTGGAGTTGGAGCAGACGGCACACTCTAATAGCCCTGTTCCTTCCTTTGCCCCAGAGGACTCTATGGTGGCTTTACTTCCCTGAGGGTACTACTCATATGTCATACTGAAATCCTCCTATGAATGACACTGGTTACATTTTGTGTGATGATGGCTCATACTCAAAAAAAGCAAAAATTACCAAGTAGGTTCTGCTATCACAGATACGTATTTACCCCTATACAATATGGTAACTTCTCCTAGGAATTAACTTAGTCAGACAGTTCAATTAATTACCCATACCCTGAGCTTCCAACTGACAGTAAAGCAGAAAGTATTTATCCTAATAATAGGCATTGTCTGAGCTTAGTATGACTTTGAAATAGTTTGGAAACTATATAATGTTCAGTTTGTTTTCTTTAGAAATACTGCAGCTTATTTTGCAGAAACAATAATTCTACCGAGTTTGCCTAGCTTAGGGGATCAATGTCTTATTCCTGTGCTCCCAATAGAATCTGTACCCCTCTGTCTACTATTTCTTAAGAAAGCACAGTTTTTTCTTTTAGCTAGTTTACATTTCAGTTCATAACCCAAAGGGGAACTGGTGGTTTAGCAATAACTTCTCACTATGCCTATGTAAATTCTAAACCTTAACCAGAATAGTTTAGTAGCAGACTAAAAGGAAAATGCCAC